TTAAATTTTGTTGTTATACTCATTATTACTAGTTGATGCATTTTTTGGTCTTCCTATTTTCCGAATCTTTCTATATGCATTATTTTCTGTAATTTCTTTGTAGAGCTATAAAAATAACACTTGTAGAGCTAGGAAAATATTTTCCTGATCTTTTTTAAAGCTAAGAAAAGAACCCTAGAAGGAAATTTTCCATTGTTCTAATACGTTTAAATATACTACCAAATATAACTCTGAGTGACCTAAAATGCTAACCCCACCTATATATGACAGTGTAACAAATCTAATACACTTCCTTTGGGTTTAGTTTTGATAGCTACTATGTTTGATACCAGTACTATCATTAGGCTCAGGCAAGAGAGACACTTGCTCTGGACTCTGCACTTTTGAAGGCCCTGCATATCACAAACAAATACAATAAATGTATAGAGAAAGTATTTAATGCTCATATCATTCAGGATCTAGCACTGAGCACTGGCACAGCATGCCCTATAATTCTTCTTACTATGTATTGGTTATCTGTAACCATGTGACAAGTTGTTCCAAGTAAGTGATTGAGAACTGAATCAATATATATAATTTATTAGTTTCCATGGGTCAGAATTTGGTAGTGGCTTATTTAGGTAGCCCTAACTCATTAAGTTACACCCAAGATTTTGACTGGAGCTACAGTCATCTAAAGGCTTAGCTGGGCACATAGGATCTGCTTTTATAGTAGCCTTCTTACTGGCTGAGCCAATTGGTGCTAATTCTGAGTGGAAGACCTGACTTCCTCCGCTCAAGGGCTGCCTGAGTATCTTTGAAACATGATTTTGGCTTCTCTTGCCCTGAGTGTGAGGTGGGAGTGCATAGAGAGTCTCTTACAATGCAGTCTCAGAAGTCGTACCCGGTCCCTTCTATCTTTCGTTGGTCAGCCAAGATTCAAGATGTGAGGAGCCACACATGAGCATGAATACTAGGACATGTAGATCACTGGAGTCCATCCCTGAGGCTGGATGCCACAGTTTAAACCCTGTTAGGCCTCACATCTTTTTTGGCTGTATCTTCATATCTTAATGCCAGGAAGATATGTAGAAGGTACCATTCCTGCTACTGCAGACAGAAATCGTGGTAAGGTTGTGGTGAAGATTTGATCATTCAGTAAGGGGAAAGATAAATTAGTTACCTAATTTTCTTCTCAGCCTGAATGCAGCGTTTTGCATGACATAGTGCTGTTTCCTGATAATTTAAGACTCTTTTCCTGTTTCTGTGCCGCTTGTAAAAGATACGGGTTTTGTAATAAGTGAAGTACTGATCAAAATTCTCACCCTTCTTTCCTCTTCATTTTCTCTCTCCCAGGTAGAGAGAAATCACAAACTTTGTGAGAAGCTGAGGCATTGAATACGTTAGAGAGGGCAGTGAGTCCTAACTAGCACATCAAGGCAGTCCTCACTGAGTCCCAAGAATGTTTTTGGTAATCTTATTCCCTTTATAGACTGCTCAAGTCTTTGTTTTTTAAAGCACAACTTTATTGAGATAAAATTCATATGCCATAAAATTTATTTTTAAAGTGTATGATTTGTTAGTTTTTGATATATTCACAGGGCTGTGCAGCCATCATACTATTTTTAAAGCATTTTATCATCCTAAAAAGAAGCACAGCGCTCATTAGCAGTCACTCTGCATTCTTCCCCTTGCATCCCCAGCTCTTTTTATCTCCATGGATTTGCCTATTTTAGTCATTTTACATTAAGGCAATCATACCATATGTCTCCCATTCTAAATTATATCACTGAGCTGTTTGGAAAGCTGTGTGATCTGTTTTAAAAAGTCAATTATCTCTAATGTTTCAAATCTATCACAGGACTTTCATCTTTGTTTTCCATTACCTGCACATCATAAATAATTTCAAATATCCATATTATCTCAGACTGAATAGAATAATGTATTGCAGATTTATAAGTTTGTTGACAACAGACTTTGACTTCCAAGGACAGTAAAAGCAAACCGCCTACTTGAACTTCAACTGACTTTGAAAGGGGTATGGCTAAAATGTGTTTAACTACATAAATGGTTTTTGGATTATCTTCTAATTACAGAATAAGAAAAATTGTGCTTTCTGCATGTTACCTATGTATTACAGACATCATCAATTTTCTTCTTGATGTTAAGCTAATCTTTTGAACTTAACCCATTCACATATGTATTGGAGAACTAATGATTTTTTTTGACAGTCTGTTAAACACGTGCTTTCCAAAATAAAGATATTGTAAATATTTAATGATTTACTTTTATTTTTGTTCTTTTAAATTTTTTTAAAAATATTATTGAAATGTTTATAATAGTAAATCTTATTTTGCTATTTTAGAGTAGGTTTTTCAAAGGTGAGCTTAAAAGTTGGAAAATCCAACAGTAAATCTTTAGGGAACAAGTTTAGTGTATAAAAAAGAGTAACTGAGTATTGATTTATTTTTACAATAGAATTTATAATGAGAAATTCTTACTTGGCTACCTTTTGTAATTTTACAATGTAGAATTTTCAATGGTATTAAACACAATTTTACATTTTCATTGTCTATCTGTATGATGTCTTTCCCAATAAAATTGCATGTAAAGGACTCTCAGTTGTATACACTAGATCTTGGAATGAAGGGTTGAAGCACTCACTGTAGTCAAGTAGAAAGAGCATAGACTCTAGAATCATTTTATTTCCATTAAAATCTCAGTCCTCTCCATTTTTAGTGGTCTAGTGTTTGGTCTAGTACAAGTGTTTTAACTCCCTCAACTACAAAGAGAAGATATTAGTAGCTAATGAACAGACCTGTTGTGAAGATGAAATGATATACATATATAATATTGTGTATAAAACTTTAAACACATGGTAAGTACTTAAGAGTTACTACTTCTCTGTGGTGGAAGTTTAGGAGCAATGTGAAATAGCAGAGATAAGTAATGAATGGGTCATATACAAATCTTGGTTATATTCTGTGTGATTCAGTGATTCTTTGTATAATGAACAGATTGTTAGCTTCTACTTAACTTTCTATATATTATGTGTCCTGCAAAATGATTTTTATAAAACACAAAAATGTAAAGTTAGTGAATTGTAGGGCAAAAATGATTGCATTACAATGTAGTGGTTAACTCTTCTTCAATATAGTTCTAGAAACATTACCCAGAGCAATTACACAAAAGAACGAAATAAAAGGAATATGGATAGAAAAGGGAGAAGTTAAATTATCATTATTTGCTGATGACAAGATATGCTACATAAAAGACTGCAAAAATTTCACAAGACTCCTAAAATTAATAACCAAATTCTGTAGCATAAAAGGATACCAAGTCAACATTCAAAAATCAATAGCATTTTTGTATACAAATAACAAACTCGCTGAGAGAAATCAGAGAAACAACACCTCTCACAATAGCATCAAGAAAAATGAAGTAACTTAGGAATCAATCTAATGAAGTAAGTAAAAGACCTATACATTGAAAACTACAGCACTCTGAAAAGGAAGATTGAAGAAAACATCAGAAAATGGAAAGATAGCCTTGTATAGGCAGAACCAATACAGTTAACACGACTACACTTCCAAGGTTATTATACAGATTTAATGCTTTCCCAATCAAAACACCAATAGCATACCTCCAACAACTAGAAAAAAAATCCTAAAATGTATATGGGACCAGAAGACCTATAATAGCAACAACAATTCCAAGCAGCAAGGGCCAGGCAGTAGGTATCATAAGTCCCAATCTGAAGTTATACTATAAATCTGAAGTGATAAAAACAGCTTCGTACTGGCAAAGAAATAGACCTGAAGATCAGTGTAACAAAATGGAAGATGCAGAAACAACTCCAAGCACCCTCAGCTACCTAATCTTTGACAAGGGGCCAAATACCATCACTGGAAGAAATATAGCCTCTTTAATAAATAATGCTGGGAAACTGGCTTTCCACATGCCAAACACTAAACCTAGACCTATATCTCTCACCATGCACTAAACTCAAATCAAAATGGATCAAAGATTTAAATATAAAAACAGAAACAGTTAATTTGGTGGAAGTTAGAATAGGTTAAATACTTTAAGACATTGGTGGAGGCCAAGACTTTATGAACAAAACTCTGATTGCACTGGGGATATTACAAAGAATCGATAACTGGGATCACATAATATTAGAAAAGCTTCAGCACAGCAAAAGAAACCATTAACAGACTGAAGAGACAACCCACAGGATGGGAAAAAGATTTTTACCAGCTATTCCTCAGACAAAGGACTAACATCTAGAATGTATAGAGAACTTTGAAAAGTCAGACTCCCCCAAATTAAAAACCTATTTTAAAAATGGACATCTGAAATAGGTATTTCTCAGATGAAGAAATACAAACAGCAAATAAATATATGAAAAATGTTCAACACCACTGGTCATTCTAGAAATGGAAATTAAAACAACACTGAAATTCCATCTCACTCCAGAAAGAATGGCTATCAAGAAATCAACCAATAACAAATGGTGGCAAGGCTGTGGGGAAAAAGGAGCCCTTCTCCACTCTTGGTGGGCGTGTAAATTGGTAGAACCACTGTGGAAATCAGTATGGAAATTCCTCAAAAAACTAAAACTGGAGGTTCCCTTTGATCCAGTTGTGCCCCTTTTGTGTATCTTCCTGAAAGAGTTAAAAGCATCATACCAGGGTGATATCTGTCTACCCATGTTTATAGCAGCACAATTTATAACAGCTAAATCTTGTAAACAGCCCTCAAGCCCACCAACAGATGAATGGATAAAGAAAATGTGGTATGTATATACAATAGAGTACTTCTGTGCCATAAGGAAAGATAAAAGTTGTTTTTATGTAAGTGGATGCACCTGGAGACCATAATCTTAAGTAAAATAAATCAGACACACAAATTTTAAAAAAATTAGTGGTTAGGCAATACATGTTTTCCATTACCAAATTTTAAAATTAGAAAACAGAGTAAAAAGAAGTCCTTTATATATGCTTTCTCTTTCTCATTGCCAGGGCTATCCAGGTGACTTTGGGGACAGAGGCCCTCCTGGACTTGATGGCAGTCCCGTGAGTACACTGTGCTCACCCTTGCATTTTACCATCATCACCTGAACTGGCCATTCAAATGATCACATTTGTGAATAAGCGCTGTCATCCAGTTTTCCTACCACTACACATTCTGATCTGTGATTGTGAATGTGTGAAATAAGCGAAAGATATTTTGAGTTCACTCCATCATGATATGCAGTTATCAGAGTTATTTTTACAAGCTTAAACAAAATATTAAAAATACATGATACTAACCAGTCTCATGTAAAGTGTGCTCTCAGACCTTTCATTTGTCCATCTGAGTTCTTATGTTTTATAGAGAAGTCTTCTGCTTTGGGATTATTCAAATGGTGATATTCAATTTAGGAAAGAGTTACCATTCTAAAATGAGTTTCATCATATTGTGAAAGAATAATGCTCTTGAAGAGCATTTTGAGTCTTTAAATTCAAGAGTACACTGAATATTTTTAGTTTATTGGCTTACAATTCTTTATAATTTATACTATGCCTTTGTTTCCAAATAATTTGAATGCAAAACCAGAGGTGTACTATTCCCATACCCTGTGCCATACTAATTCTGTGACATTGACACATTGTGATAGGTGACTTATCTTTGCATATAATATACAGGCTAGTTTTATCTAATGTTAACTATGGATCATATTTACTTCCCTTATTAAGTATATACAAACAATAGAGAATTCTGTAACCTTGGCTAGATGATGTTCATATACAATGCAAAAGCATAGAGTCCAGAGACTTTTGAAGAATATAAAGAGCCTCTACAGATTTGTACTTCACAGAAAGATGTGTAAGAGGAAGGAAGCTTCAGAATTTAGCTGTACTAGAAAGAAAAATCTGACATATTCTCTCCTATAAACTTTTGCCTTAATACTCAGAAAATATCTTTAGTAGTTAGGAATTATATTTACTGAATTTTGTGTATTTCTTTTACAATAGGGACTTGTAGGTGGCATTGGCCCTCCCGGGTTTCCAGGACTTACAGTGAGTATCACTAAATACTATCATTCTTAGGAAATAATTTCTTCTTTAATTTATATTTGTTAGGTGTGTTTTTAAAACTTAGAAAAATGAGACATTTTAGTGTCGCTGTTGGATATGAACTCTGCTTCAATTTGTTTTTCAGCCAGATATAAAAATTAGACTAGTAACAGAAATCATATTTTAGATGATAAAAATAATTTATTTCCATAGATTTATATGTGTGTATATGTTTATGCCTGTTTCATTAAAATATCTTAGTCAAGGTTCACTTTTCTCAAAAGTATGAGTCATAGCACAGCCGCTTCTTTCTTTTGAGAAAATCTTCCACACAATGTTTGGAGGGAAACAGACATGATCAAAAACACATGGTAACTGTAGACTTTAGATTATAGAGTAAAATTGAATAAATGGTTAGGAAAGCCATCTTCAACAAAGATAGGAGTTAGACTATTCCAATGACACTAAACATTTTCATACATAATTTACTACACTAAAATGTGCAAGTGACTATTTGTTCTTTTTTTTTTTTTTTTTTTTTTTTTTTTTTTT